CCTCCCGCATACCAACCCCCGCCACCACCACTGCTGCTGCTGCTGCTGCTGCTGCTGCTGCTGCTAGCAGCAGCAGCAGCAGTATGTTGTTTAAAGGCAGTAGCTAGTTCATTAAAATAACTAACAGAAGAGATAGATCTTGCTTCTGCTGTTTCTATATATGCTGCAGCACGAAAGAAAGGTTTAGATCGAGCAAAGTCAAGAAGAGATTGCGGGGTTATTTTGCCTGTATATAAATCTATAAGTCTTGCTGCTGTCTTTCTATTTATTTCTGTTGCTTGAAATATATAACGAAGACAAGAGTTCATACGTGCACCCACCAACGACCACAAACGGTACCCTGCTGCTCCTCCTCCTGCTCCTCCTGCTGCTCCCGCTGCTGCTGCTGCTGCTGCTGCTGCTGCTGCTGTGGTGGGGGGAGGGGCAGATGCTGCTGCTGCTGCTGCAGCGGGAGAGAGAGAAGGAGACCTAGAGAAGAAAGAACAAGAAGATAGATAGGGTAGAACAGCACCAACAGCAGCACTAGATACCTGTGCCCCCANCCTCCTTTATAAGCATTTGCTTCGATAGAGAAGAAGAATATAAAACATTATTTAATAATATATAAAGAGCTCGCATATGTTCTGTTGCTCGCCGACTGTATTCTCTACCTTGTTCTATAAATGCTTCCACTGGGAAACGTACTGCTGCTGCTGATGCTGCTGCTGCTGCTGCTGCTGCTGCTGATGCTGCTGCTGCTGCTGCAGCAGAAGAAGAAGAAGAGGATGAGGGTGCACCTGGGTAACCAGTATACATGTGGTGGTGATGCTGGTGTTGCTGCTGCAGCAGCAACATCTGCTGCTGCTGCTGCTGCTGCTGCTGCTGCTGCTGCTGCTGCTGCTGCTGCTGCTGCTCGTCCCCCAGCAGCCTGCGCTGCATTATCTCTCCCTCACAAAAAGCGATTACATTTTGTATGAGGAAGCCCATCTCGGTGAGTGCGTTTTTTAGGTTTTCTAGCGGGATAAATACTTCTGTTTGCTGCTGCTGAGGATAGCTGCTGCTGCTGCTGCTGCTGCTGCTGCTGCTGCTGCTGCCTGGTGCTGGTGCTGCTGCTGCTGCGGGGCGGAATAGCCGCTGTAGCTGCGCATGCAGCTCTTGTACTGCTTTCCCTGTGTTCGATGTTCTCCATAATCCTGCTGCTGCTGCGTTTGCTGCAGCAGATACTGCTGCAGCAGGCTGATCCTGTT